TCTACAGAAAAAAGACAACATCAGTGATCAAAAAAAAAAAGATGAGGAAAATACACCAGGAAGATACATTATGGCACTTTAAGACATGTTGTCAAGGTCAAAACTTGCCTCTCACATGCCTGTCGAAAGTATTGGTAAACTAAATCTACTGTTGCTACAAATATTCTTTAAAGCTTTTTAACTAAGTAGATCTATTTTACCAATACTTTAATCAGACACCTGGGCAGACAAGTTTCATTAAAGTACAGTATAATGTATGTAGTTATTTCATCTGACTTTATACATTCTACATTTGTAATATTCACATAAAGGCACTGAATATTTGCAACGCTATTGCGACACTTCCTCAGTGTGTCATTCTGGTAGCACCGGTAATGGTCTTGCTGCAAGTTTGTAGTAAAATGCAGTCCTGGGGTGCGTTTCTCAAAAGCATCGTTGCTTGTAGAGTAGCTTCATCATAAAATACGTTCTCATGTTTATTTTTTTATATTTATATCTATTTTTTTTATGAGAAATAAAACAATAAGAGCACTGAATGAGGTGGATATTTGCCAAAAATCTATTGTAGGAAACAAAACTTGCAAATGTCTTTTATCGTTTATCAACAACAAAGCAGCTCTTTATTGCGTGTGCAGCTTGTAAATGACTCTGTACTTCAGGTAAAGACTATTTATATGGGGGCTGGTGTCGGATGCTGATGAAAGGCTAGAAATGCCTCTGGTATTACGTATCTCTGATTCATGTGTTCAGGTTTTTGTACAGAGCTGAGGCTTGTTTAGTTACTGGGACTCTCTGGCACAGTAAAACACAGCTTAGTCTTCAGTCTGAAAATGATTTCCCTGTAGAAACACTGTGTTTCTGGATGTGTCCTGGGTGAAACTGATCTTTAATGTTAGTGCTACCACTAACGAAAAAAAAGAATGTGTTATTATTAATTATGTCACAAAACTTCTGCTAACAGTTATGAAGCTTATTTCATTGCTTTAGTTTAGAGTTTAAATAAAGCATTAGTGAAGCTCACAGTATGCAGCACAGCATACATCTCTTCGGTTGTCCAAGATGTTGCAGTTTGTCATTTATTTATGATATAATTGCTTTCTACAGAAAAAAGACAACATCAGTGATCAAAAAAAAAAAAAAAAGATGAGGAAAATACACCAGGAAGATATATTATGGCACTTTAAGACATGTTGTCAAGGTCAAAACTTGCCTCTCACATGCCTGTCGAAAGTATTGGTAAACTAAATCTACTGTTGCTACAAATATTCTTTAAAGCTTTTTAACTAAGTAGATCTATTTTACCAATACTTTAATCAGACACCTGGCAGACAAGTTTCATTAAAGTACAGTATAATGTATGTAGTTATTTCATCTGACTTTATACATTCTACATTTGTAATATTCACATAAAGGCACTGAATATTTGCAACGCTATTGCGACACTTCCTCAGTGTGTCATTCTGGTAGCACCAGTAATGGTCTTGCTGCAAGTTTGTAGTAAAATGCAGTCCTGGGGTGCGTTTCTCAAAAGCATCGTTGCTCGTAGAGTAGCTTCATCATAAAATACGTTCTCATGTATATTTTTTTATATTTATATCTATTTTTTTTCAAATATCTGTAAATTACCAGCTTTGATAAATGCAATAGGTGTTTTTGTTTAAAGTTCATAATTTACTGATATAAAAAATAATAATAATACAGAAACACACAAAAAACACATAAGAACACATTTCACAATGAAGCTACTATAAGGCTTTTTGTGTTTCTTGGTCAAGAAACAAACATTCAGTGAGCGATGTCCGAAACACTAACACAAGACTGCTTGACAACAGCGCCACCTCTTGGAAATGGAACAGTACATCTGGAGCATAAGTGAAGGTTTTTGTATTGCTTTGACACTGAACTCATTCACAGTGACTCTCTAGCGCAGTAATACACAGCAGTGTCTTCAGTCTTGAGGCTGTTCATCTGTAGGTACAGTTGACTGCTGGAATCATCTCTGGACACTGTGAACCTGCCCTGGACTGACTGGGAATAGTACTTCTGAGAACTGGATCCGGCACTTCAGGTAAAGGCTATTTATATAAATTTTTATCCCAAACTTTTTCAAAAAGAGAGTAGGAGCAGGGCTGGTGTTGAGTGCTGTTGAAAGGCTAGAAATGCTCCTGGTATTATATACATCTGATTCATGTGTTTAGGTTTTTCTGCAGAGCTATGGTGAGCTCAAATCTGGCTTACGAGATCCACTTTCCTGCAGATTTTAGTTCTAACCTTAATCAAACACACCTGAGCATGCTAATCAATGTCTTCAGGATCATTAGAAAATCACAGGTGGGTGAGTTTGATCAAAGTTGGAGCTAAACTCTGCAGGAAAGTGTATCTCACGAGCCGTATTTGAGGTGTAACAGACATGAGCCTATTAATACGAATTTTGTGGGCAGTTTTTTTCCTTACCCCTAGGGGTACTAGGGTGTTTTAGGTTTCCTTAAGTAAACCCATGTGGGTAGAGGGAGTTAGCAATAACAAGCAGCAGTAACCAGTGTTGCCAACTTAGCAATTTTGTTGCTAAATTTAGCAACTTTTCACATTACCCTAGCAACGTTTTCTTCCAAAAGCACCAAGCAACAAATTTAGCTGTTTTTAAAATTTATTTGGCAACTTTTAGCAACGTTTGATAAGTGACTCAAATGATTAAAAGGCACACATTTTCCATCTAAATCACACAAAACAAGGAAACCAAAGATGCCTAGCGGTACACAATTCACATGGATTAAGTTATTGCTATTTGCAATTGTGTAATTTAATAATAATAATTGAATATTTGAATAATTGTTCATTTATGATACACCTTGTTAGTAGCTTGTACCTGTGATTGTTGATCAGTTAGTACACTGTAAAAAAAATATCTAGAAAAATGGAAAAGGTACTAGTTATTTTCCAGGACATTATCCGGTATCCATTATTCATTATCCATTGTAACCCTGTAACCCGAAAACACAAAATGCTATGCGTAATTTAAAATGCAGGGGGGGAAAAACTGTGAAAAATCAATATGGAAAATTCCTTCATATTAACATAGATTGTGCCCTATTTTTATACTAACTGCTAATACACTGCTTAAAACTATAATTGTTCAGAATGTGTAGTTTTACTAGTTTATTAGCTAATAAAAAAAACTTAAATTGTAATTTTTCAAAAAATGTGTAAGTGTTCAATAATTCAATGTTGTATTTAAAAATACAGTTATTACATTTTTGGCTATATGTAGCTGTATTAACCTGAACTGACTGTTTTCTGTTTTGTATTTAATAAATTGATTTGAAATCCCTTTGACTACTTTACATTTTTGACAATACAGACATTAGTTATGTGGTGACTGCATCCATTTCAGATGTATAATAACTGTTTTTTTCCCAAAGACTTAAGTTATAGTAGCTGGAAAGTATTTAAAGTGAAACAGATGTATTGTTGTAGATTAATAGTGCCGGCCCTGTGTGGGCATAATGAGGGCTTCCTGGGGGCTAAGTGAGGGCTACCCGTGCAGGGCCAGCGCTAAGGGGCCAATGTTTTGCCAATGAGCTAATTCTCAGGGGCCCTGCACTGGCAGCCCGCTGGGGGCCCTAAGGCTAGCCCTAAGTGGACCCATAAAGGGCCAGTGCAGGCTTGTTTGCAGGGCTGTTTTTTGGTCAAGAAAACAAACAGTCACTGAGTGATGTCTGAAACAGTCAACTTAAGGCCCGTTCACACCAAGGACAATAACTAGAAAGATAACGATAAAGATATAGTTCTAAAAATCATTCTCAATATT